ATATTACACAGGTTTCTTACCACTACTGTGCATGTGTGTCAAGGACAGAAAGGCAGATGTGGCAGTGGAAGGTGTCAAAGCAGTTTGGAGAGAAAAACAAAGTAAAGAACAAAAAAAAAGAAAATGATTAATCGATTATTAAATTAGTCATCGACTACTTTAATAATCGATTAGTCGTCGATTAATCGTGGCARCCCTAATGTCAAATAAAACAGGTCATATTTTGAACTTCTATGAATGTAGAGGAAATAATAATCTGACCCAGATCTACTGAAGGTTCTACACTGTTGGACCTCCAACCCTCCTTTCTCCTGACGAGTGCTCTGCTCTCTGCCATCCTGCTTCCTCTGCTGGAGCCTCCTGTCAGCAGCACCTGCTCTGGCCCTATGCAGGTGGAGGCCATCCCCAGCCCCTCCAAACACACAGGAACTGGGTGCACTTTCAAAGCTGCAGGGCTCCAGCAYGGGCTGACGGACAGCAATGGAGGAACTGAGGCACAAAAACACACTGGTTCAGCCACAATGTTTTACAAATGCTCTGAAGTAAAAGTTGTGCTTTTTGTGCACCTGGAGCATGAGGAAGAAGAGCCTGTTTCATCAGAGAGCCTCGCGATGCAGTCAGGATGAAGTAGTGGGAACATTTTGCGTGCCACTCCTGTTGGACAGATTTAAATGATTCTGCTCACTGTTGTCGCTCTAAAACTTGATTTTATGAAAGATAAAAGTCACAGCACAACTAACCTCATGTTCATCGAATGGTTCCAGATTCTCGACTCGACGCCGCTCCTCCTCGGACACCAGCCCCAAGTAAAACTCATTCATATCCTGACACACACAAAACTCCCAGCCCTGAGGACACACACACGGGTCATTAAACACGTCTCACAGTGCAGCCCCCACACACTGAAAACTTTCAAACTTTTGTTGGTGTTTCCTTTAACATCTCTGAAGTAAATATACAATTTGCATAAAGGATTGTTYCCTTCAGTSAGGATTTTAGGTAGGATTTTGGAAGAGGTTGTCAACACTTTAAGCTCTTGCTCCACCCCACCCCCTAACTAGGGGAGTAGGAAAATATCGATACACCGATATATATCAATATTTCATTTCCCGATAATGTATCGATTTTCTAAAGCCCTGTATCGATTTTTAATTAAGGTTTAAAATGTCAACCTTCCTGCCAACGGTTCATTTTAATGTTGTAGTTCAGCCTCTGACCGCTAGTTGGCAGCAGTGAGTCAGCCATTTGGCTYCTCTACTTCTAAGGTGCCAGAGAGTAACGGTAGCATTAGCATGGTGAATAAATATTTTGCTTCATGCATCGATAGCTGAATCTGAGCAGAAAAGATCGACACCCTCTGCCTTCTAAGCTGAGGTAAGGTTACCAACAGTCCCTTATTTGTCAGAATGTCTGTATTTTAAGCCAAATCGAAGCGTCTCGTCCAGGGCGCTCTTTTTACGACTGTAGTCAGTCAATTTACGGAAGACAGGCATGCGTCTATCGCCTCGAGCTTAGTGGGTGTTGAGCAAAATTCAGTTCCCCTGTGAAAATCTGTTCCCCCTGTGTCTGGAGGGCACACTGCAGCCAGAGAGGCAGATCCAACCATTTTCACAGCACTTCTGATGAATTTCTCATTAAAAGGACTCACATAATCTTGTCAAGGTAACTTTCAGTTTAATCATCAGCTGCTGTTAAAAAAACTCTAAAATGAATAAATAAATAAAACCTGGCCTTTTTTAAATCATAGAATGAGTCCTGATCAGTCCTTTTCCAACTTTTCTCATGTTGTCTTTAGCCTCACTGTTTATCAGTCAGCCATCAACACTGTCTTCCAACATACTGTGTGGATTTATAATTTTTTTTATTGCTGATGCAAGAACCACATATTTCAGTTGTTTAAAATAATCTGTTCCCCCTCTGTAACATGGGAACAAAATAATTTACCTCCAAATCTTTAACGGTGTTAATTACTCTCATCATAAACAACAAATCCTGAAGATTTGGGAAAATTTGCTCTTTATTTGCCAAAGTTACCTGGATGGAACCAAATATTATTTAGGCTTGTAAGCTACAGTTTGCACTGTTTCAATTAAAGAAAACTAATTTTCTCAACGCATCTTTGATTAATTTTGTCCAGCTGTAGACTAGGTCTCTGTCCAATCAGGGCCAGGTATTGTGTAGTTGGTGCTTTTAATCAGTTTTCAGTTCAATTCAATCCAAGTCTATGGAACAGTCACAAAATGTCACCAAAATCACTCTGTCCCTCTAAAATCATTCAGAAAATCGAATCATATCAAATCGTATCGTTCGCTGAATATTGTGATATATATCGTATCGTGAGCAGAATATTGAATATCGTATCGTATCGTGAGCAGAATATTGAATATCGTATCGTATCGTGAGCAGAATATTGAATATCGTATCGTATCGTGAGCAGAATATTGAATATCGTATCGTATCGTGAGCAGAATATTGAATATCGTATCGTATCGTGAGCAGAATATTGAATATCGTATCGTATCGTGAGCAGAATATTGAATATCGTATCGTATCGTGAGCAGAATATTGAATATCGTATCGTATCGTGAGCAGAATATTGAATATCGTATCGTATCGTATCGTGAGATTAGTATATCACTACAGCCCTACCAATAACCCACTCCCATGCGCTTACGAAGTTTACATAAGTTTATTAAATTTATGTATGTAAAAAAATAATATTAATTACAAACTGAGCAGTAGCAGAGATTCTAACAAGAAGATCCATTAACGGCTGCTGAAGCTGTAAAACCGCTCCCTGCCTCTTCTCTCCAGCTGGTTTATCCTGTATGTGTCTTCCTCTGGCTTCATAAAATAACTGCGGTCACTGCACTTTGCTTTCGTAGCACCGACGCCTCACAGCAAGATGGTCCTGGGTTCAATCCCCGGTTCWGACCTGGGRTTTTTCTGTGTGGAGTTTGCATGTTCTCCTTGTGCTTGTGTGGGTTTTCTCTGGATACTCTGGTTTTATTCAAACTCCAAAAACATGTACAACAGGTTGCCCTTCAGGCCCAGCCTCCAGTGAAACAGAGATTTGTGATCTCTGTAGGATTTGCCTGGATAAATAACTGTAAAATAAACATTTTTAAATCAACTCTGGGCATGGTGACCGGAGGMTGTGCTGAGGTGTTGCCAGCTGAAAGAAGTAAAACTGAATCCTTGTAACCAAAGGTTTCAGCAGACAAACACACAGAACTGTTTCCCTTTTTTTAAATGAGCTTTGATCCAAGAGAAAATGTTTTAGTTTCTTCTTTGCATGGTAGCTTTCCAGCATAATGAATGGCCCACGCAGTGACATGTTGAACAGAATCAGATCACAGCTGCAGTATTTGATGTTTGACCTTCAGCCACATCATCCCCTACTGTTTGTATTTACATATTTCACAGTGACCCCACTATTTCAGGAGTGCAGTTGTATTAGGCCTGGTTCACACGGCAGGAGAATTGTGCCCAGTTTTCCCCTTGTGATACTCTTAAGGAGCACCCGACGATAATCATCTCTGAAGATAATCTGAGTAGATCTTCCTGCCGTGGGTGGTGAGTTAAAGTGGCAATATCATGTAAAATCAACTTTTTTGAGTTTTACATCATGTTATAATGTTATACTCTTAAAAAACATGCCCAAAGCCTTGCTTTGACTCATTCATGCTTGTTTGAGAAATCCTGCAGCGTTTTTAGGAAGCCATGCAGAGGAGCAAAACGACAGGTGGGGACCAGAAACACCTTTTGGGACCAGGAATGCCCCTGGGACGTGTCTTTAAGCTGAACTTCCTCATCACGGAGCACACCCCCCCACCCCCCCCCCCACAC